GACCCCACTGGGCTCTCAATGCAAGGGACTGAGGATGCTGTGACTTGGGGGAACCATGCAGTGCCAGGAATGGAACCTATGTTAAGTGCATGCAAGACATGCACCCTAACTGCTGTACTATCTCCCAGACCTTATTCTTAAGATTTTTTCTTTTTAAAGACCAGTGACATGGGCCAGGGAGACACTCAGCATGCAATTTTCCATGAAGGAGCTTCAGGTTTGATACCTGGCACTGCACAGTCCCCTAAACACTGCCATATGTTACCCAAAACGAAATAAAGATATTGGTGACATGTTTACTAATCTAAGGCCTCCTTCAACAGAGCAGCAAAGAACAGACCAAAATGGACTCAAGTGCAGCTCAGATATTTAACACTTGCAAAATCTTGGGTAATTAACTAAACCATGGTGAATCTGCTTCCACATCTGATCCTCTGAGATCGGCACTGTCATTAGGTGGGATAACATAAAGGCCATAGGATCAGAAATATATCTAGCCATTTACAAATATACATGACTTAATCCTCTTTCTTATTTCATTAGCTGACTTGACTATACTTAGTGGCTGTCCCTGTCATGACAAGTACAACAGTGATGAAACTGCAAGGTTCATCTCAACATTTCCTTCAACATTTAGAGAGGTATGAAAAGAAAATGAACAAAGTGACTTTTAATAGTTATGTGTTAGAATACAAAACTGATGTTTGAAAGTTAATTTTGAAGTTGAAGCCAAACATTCTGGCAAATTGTAGCATATAGGCAAAAGTCAAGATGGGAAAAATTACTGATTCTAGTTATCTCTTATTGCACCACTGTGAAGTCCTGTTTCACAAGAATGAAAACTCACTAGAATAGGGACTAAGGAGAAAGATCAAGTAGTAGAGCAGATGCCTAGCATGTGAGTAGCTTGGAGACTGATGCCTGGTACTGCATTCTCCATGTGCCCTGCACTACTCAGCATGCCTCCCCATTCTCTTCTCCTACAGAGCATTGCTGGGGGTGGTGCCTATTTAAAAAAAAAAAAAGAGAGAGAGGATTAAAAAAGTGACACCTTATTTAACCATCTTTTTTTTGGGGGGGGGGGGGGTATACCAAACAGTGTATATTGTACACCAATATATACCAAACAGTGCCCAGCTATCTGGGGGCCACTCCCAGCTATTCTCAGCCAAGTTGCTGGGCTAGCATTCAGGCCCAGCAGGGACACAGAGGGGTACAAGGTGGTGCTGGGGATCAAATTCAGGACCACATCCATGGCCAGGATTGGGCTCCAGCCCTCAAACTGTTTCCTCGGTCCCATTATTTAACTGCCTTAAGAAGATGGTCCAACCAATAGACATTTCTGTAGAAGTCTAAAATGTATAGTATACTGGTTTAAACTTTCACTTATCCTCTTGTTAGTTTGGAAACTGCTGAAATAGACACAGGTTTTAAAATCCACTTACAGAAAAAATAAAATCTACAGATGAAAGCATAAAATGATTTGATATTATCTAGTAAATTTAATCTTTTAGCTTTGAACAGCCACTTGAAACTTGTTCTATTAAATTTACCCTTACTCACATAAATTAGTCACATTTATTCTTAACTGAATAACTGTCTCTTGTAAATTTCCGGTCTCATATTCACTCTCGCCTCTACTTATAACTTGTATGATCCCCAGCTACAATGCACTCACTTCTCTACAGGATTTTCTGTCTGGTCCTGCTTAAAATCCAGGACTCTGGTACAATTTAAATCTCATCAAATAATCCCCCAATTTTATACTGCATTAACTCTTTAACTGTAGAAAAAATTTACCCCGATATTTAATTTTCACAGTTGCATAAAAGATTGTTCTCACAGGCTATCTACAAAAAACACTCAAGTTTTACTTCATATAAACTATCTTCAGCCACTCCTGATGAGAGTAACACTATTTTTAGCTCAGGTGCATTAGAAACAAATGTTTGATGAATGATGTTTAGAATGGTATCAATAGAGAGAACAAAATGGGCTGAGCTCTTGCTTTGCATGGAGGAGGTTCAGGTTCAATTTCTAGCATTACCAAAACCATGGATCCCTGAGCCCTGAGTTGGGAGTCGCCCCTCAGCAGGTATGGGCCCGAAACCAAAAAAACAAACAAAAAAATTAAACCTCAGAAATAAAGTCTATCTATATAAATTTTCTTCATTTAGTAACATCAATTCTTTTATATAATTAGAAGGCAAAATTATGCATGGAAATAGTTACATACTGGTCATAATAACTTTTTGAATGTAAATAATAATTTTTATGTTTTTATTTTTATTTTTTTGTAAATCATAATGCTTTAATAAAACAAAACTTTTTGAGAGAAAAGAGAGATTCATGAATAAATGTTGCTGATCAGTAGTAAATGCTGATGAGTAGCAAACGTTTGTGGCCTTAAAGTTTATCTAAATAACACCATAAAATCAAACCTGCAGAAATCAATTTATTGTGACCAATTACAGTCCATCTACCTAGTTTCTGGCAGATACGTGCTAACATGTTTATTGTACTTTTATTTTAAGATTTATTAACAGAAATGTTTCAAAGATGACCCTGAGCACATGCTTCTGAGTAAATAAAAGTAGTAATAACCTCCAAGTTCAAAAACAATTTCAAACATATCATTCTTAAAGATGGGTGTATAAACACAATGGCTGTGTTGATCATGGGGTTATTTGAACATCATTTATCCTTTTTCTCTAGAACCGTGCTAGAGATGTTCTCAGCCCATAGACCACAATCCATTTCCTTCTTTAAAGACAACTCTTGCCTGGCAGGACTGTGAAGGGACTCAAGGTTCTGGTTTTACTAAACTCCTTCGGTGCCAGGGTTAAGCCCATTATTCTGAAAGGGAACATGTGCAGAGATGTCACTGTGATCTCAGTGAAGACATGGCACCCCTGATAAAGGTGACAGATATCACTATCAGGGACAGCCCTCACACACTTCTTCCTGTGTTTAAAAGCCTGTGAGTGCCAGGGTTGTGACAGAGATTTCAAGCAGCAGCAGCATTAGGAGACCAATGATGAGGGAGAGAATCCACCGGCTGCTACCTTCAGGCCACTTGTAGTTTGTGAAAAGCTGATTCATGATTTAGGCCTTTCTAAACTAAATATGCTATTGCTTATACCTAAAAGGGTTCTAATAGCCTTTTCATAAATTTATTTTCACCTGATAGAAACCTTTCTAAAATATGACATTTTCCCTCCTTATTAAAAATAACACGCATTATATTCTCTCTCTCTCTCTCTCTGATCACACATGCAAACATGAACAATGCTGCTCTTACTCTGCGAATTAACTACATCCCTTGCCCAACATTTAATTCTTTTTTTTTTTTGGAGTTTTGTTTGTTTTAATTTTTTTATCATTTTTTTATTAGTGAAACACCATGAGGTACAGTTATAGACTTATAAATTTTTGTGCTTGGGTTTCAGTTATACAATGATCAAGTACCCATCCCTCCACCAGTGCCCATCCTCCCCCACCACGGGTCCTAGCATCCCTCCCACCCCCCCCTCCCTGCCCCCTCCTCCCTCCGTCCCACCCTGCCGCTGTGGCAGGGCATTCCCCCTTGTTCTCTTTCTCTTCTTTTGGGTACTGTGTTTTGCAAGAGAGGCATTGAGTGGCAATCATGTTTGGTCTATAGACTACTTTTAGCATGTCTCTCCCACCCTGGGAGGGTCTTCACAACACCCTTTATTTGGTGCTCTCTTCTCTACTACATGGAAAGTATCATGTTAAGCAAAATGAGTCAGAAAGAGCGGGATAGACACAGAAAGATTGCATTCATCTGGGGAACATAAAGCAACAAAAAGGGAGACTAACACCCAGGAATGGCTGAGATTAGTACCAGAAATTTTGCTCCATGACTTGAAGGCCAGCCACATGTGCTAGGTGAAAAGGAAGCTCAGATAATTTTTATGTTTTTTAAAAAGAATAAGGAGATCCTAAATCCCTCAGCTATTAACATAGCTGAATAATCAATATTTATAGGCATGACACCCAAATTTCAGAACTGACTTAAAAATCATCTCTAAGATTTATCAGTATTTTTGATGCTTTTTTTTTTATTCAAAATTTACTTAGACTGACTACCTCCAGCAGTTACTACTTAAAACATCTTGTAATGAGCAAACATTTTCTTTGAGATTTAAGCTAATTTAATGGTCACACTAATTTTATTCTTCTTCTTTTCTTTAATAAATAAGATTTATGTTGGCCATTCAAATTTTACTGCTGATTAAATTATTACTGTACAAATAATTCAAGATAAAAATATACTTTTCCACTTATGCTCAAGTAGATATTTATCACTAGTAATTAAGGATAAGAAAACAGTCAGTCACAGTAACAGAAAGCATCTTTTTAGTCAAAATATACTGTTTTAAATAATATAAATTACTTATATAGTGCCTTGCAAAATTACCTCAAAACGCCACAAATTTCACAGATTCAAGGTAGTGCCAGTTAGAAAGCGTTTAGATACTAAGAAATCTGTTAACTGATATTAGGCAAGTATCCTTTTTTGCAATCTCAGTAATATCACCATGGAAGGAAAAAGAAGAAGGCAAGAGTCAAAAAACTTCCTTTTACCCACAACAGTAAACTCCGCAAATCTCTTCTACAGGTATAAAGCAAATTTTGGTTGGTATAAAGTAACCAAAAAAAAAAAAAAACTGGTTAGGGTTTTGAAATATCAGTAAGTATTTTATATATATATACACATACATATATATATTCTCCATGCAAACATTACCTGATCATTTTAGATCATGAATAAAGTGGTTCAAGAAAAATAAATTCTTAATCCTGTCAGAAAAATCTGGTAAAATCTTCTAAAATGTTGTAATTATAGACAAAGAGCTGCTTAAAATATTTATCATGATATTTCCAGTAGCTAAGTCCATCATAATCAGTAATGAAATGCCTTTACAATACAGAGGAAGGAAGAAAGAAATATGTAAAGATCAAAGTTTATCACTTACCTCATGATTCAGCTCTGCTATCTGATCTTTTAGTTCCCTAATATACTGGTTAGAATCAGACTTATTAAGCTGTCCTTGAAGCTTTCCTTCTTCTTTCTGTTTTGTGATAATACAAGAAATCAGAAACAATTTTTTGAACAAAATATTTGAAAAGAGTATAAACGCATATCTTTAAATTGAATAAATTTTGTGTATACATTTTAAAATTATCTTTGAAAAATGATTCATAGTAATAAATTCATATTAGTTATTGAACATCCTAAATATTTTAAAATAATACAATGCCAACTACTTACAATAAAAGCAACTTATAAATGTGACTTTGGGGAGATCAACTAACTGAATGGTCTTCTACTGAAAAAAATTACTCTCAAATTATTTCAAAGTTATTTTTCTATTTTGAGGGATGATGACTTCTAACCATAAAAATCTAGGGCCTTCTACAACTACACTGGAAATTTGCTCTTGTTTGAAAACAGAAGGAGAAAAAGGAAAAGAAAATGTTCTTCACTCCATTCTTAAAAGAGAAAGGGAGTTCTAAATCTCTTCTGCTTACTTAGCTCAGGAATGTGAGTCCTAAATAAAAGATGCTTCAGTCTGAGGAGCTGGTTCTAGGACTGTGTTGGGACAAGTTTCTAGGGTCACAGATTAGGAAGGGGGAGAAACTGTTTTATTTTTTACTTTTCTTTTTCTTCTTCTTTTTTTTTTTTTTGCTTTTTGGGTCACACCTGGTGATGCACAGGGGTTATTCCTGGCTCTGCACTCAGGAATTACTCCTGGCGGTGCTCAGGGGACCATATGGAATGTTGGGAATTGAACTCAGGTTGGCCACATGCAAGGCAAATGCCTTACCTGCTGTGTTATTGCTCCAGCCCCTTGAGAAGCTATTTTCTTATGCTGTCTGAAAACATACATGAATTCTGAATATGAAGGGCTTATTAAAGAGTGAAAACCAAATTGCTTTTTGTTCTTTTCAGAATGCTTGGGAGGCCTTGGACTGAAGCTGCTGGGGGACATGGTAATTGCTATACTTTCTGGCCTCTTTCATTCCACTTTTAGAAACAAAGCATTTCAAAGTCACCATAGTAAGACTAGAGCAGTAATAAGGTCTAAAGAATTCACTACCCAAATTGCATTTATTTCAACTGTCTCTCACATTAAGATTTTCCTTGGCTCTAGATTTATTTCATTTGTGTCTTGTATATCCAAAGTGGAAAAAGACACGAAACAGCAGGGAGTATGTAAGTGAGCAACTGAAGCAAGAAAGAAGAGAAGGAAGAAGATAGAAGAGAGGAGAAATACATGGAAGCTATTCATTGATGTAAAATCAACACAGAAATTATTTTCCTAGAATATATTTCCCAAATCTCATAGGTCATCAGAAATGGCACCAGCAATTGAGCATTTAGATATATTTCCAAAAGAGAAAACATATATGTGCGTGTGTGTGTGTTCATCTGTCTTTTTTCTCGGGGGTGGGGGGGCTCCCAAGTACTGCTCAGGAAGTCACAGAAACCCCTCTTGGTGACTCTTAGACAGCTGGCCCTGTGATTCAGTGTAGAGCTGAGGAGAACTGGCCCTGCAGTGCCTGAGGATTACCAATTTCACTTGAGATTATCAATTATCTAATGTTTTAGAATTTTTTTCATATATTTTTATGACTTTCTATTTTCAAGCAGCTTACACATGTTGTTTCTGATAAGCAGGTGGGAAAATGTCAACTACACTAATAAATTTACCAGGAACCTGCATTTTCTTGAGGTTTTCTTTTGGTTTAGCTGATAACAACAGATTGCAGTTAACTGGTTTCCTAAGCAAAACTAATTAGGTAAGTAACAAACTTAGAGTAAATAAAATCCTACACACCAATAGTTTTGGTAGTCTGCATTTTCACTGACAGATTTTAAAATACAATCTTTTTTTGGTTATACAAAAACAAAACACTTTATATTAAAAGAGAATGTAAGGTAATATTTCCAAAGGTTTAAATGCATATTTCTCTTGTGCCTTAGAATAACTGTTCTGTCAATTATTACTCTGATATCCATAATAACTTGATTCACATTAAAACATTAAGTTACATAGGAATTTGTATATTATTATCAATAACCCTAGTAAATGATACACACGTTTAAATGATTGAGATAAAATAACAATACTAATTTATTCTAAAATGTATTAAAACTATCTAGAATAGATGAGTACCTGATAAAACAAATATGTCAAAATATTATTTTTAAATTGAAGTGGTGGGTTTATATTATCCATTCTAAATTTCTTTCAGCATCTATTTATTTGGAAATTTTCACAGTAAAATATTGGAAGGAAGCATAGGAATGAAAACCAATTCATTTCTGCTCTCCCGAAAGGATGCTAAAAAGTATTTGGTTCATACTATATTTCATTTACAGGTGTAAAGATAAGTACCTTCCAAAGATTACTTAGTGTTTTATTTATAGTTTTGCTATTTTGCCCAACATCCTACAGTACTTGACTCTTTGCTCTGGATCAATCCAGGTGGGTGTGAGGGACCATATGGGGTGCCGGGATTGAACCCAGGTTGGTTACATGCAAAGCCAAGTGCCTTATCAGCTATACTACCTCTGTACTATCTTTCTGGCACCAATATGAATATTAAAATCTACCATTTGTTCCAGGAATGGACACTATTCTTATAATTTACTGAAAATGCAAAATACAAAAATTGAACTGGGGCTGGAGTAATAGTACAATGGGTAGGGCATTTGTCTTGCAAGTGGCCAATCCCAGCATCCCATATTGGTCCCTCAAGCACCGCCAGGAGTTAATTCCTGAATGCAGAACTAGGAGTAATCCCTGAGCATTGCAGGGTGTGATTAAAAAAAAAAACCCACAAAACCTCAAAGACCAAAAATCACCTTCAGGAGTCCAGAGGGATAGTACAGTGGGTTGTTCTGTATGGGGATGTACAGGGGTTGACCCCCGTCATCCATATGGTCACTGAATAATTTCTGAGTGCAGAGCCAGGAGTAAATCTTGAGCATTGCTGAGTGTAGCTGAAAACCCCCAAATAAATAAATAAACATAGAACTTCATTAAGAAAAAATTTTAGAACAGATAGAATTGCAGTTCATTGCCTTGCATGTGGCCGAACCGGACAACCCTGGTTCAATTCCTCTGCCCCTCTCCGAGAGCCCAGCCTACCATGAGTATCTCGCCCGCACTGCAAAGCCTGGCAAGCTACCCGTGACATATTCAATATACCAAAACACAGTAACGAGAGTCACAATGGAGACATTACTGGGCCCACTCCAGCAAACAGATGAACAACGGGAGGACAGTGACAGTGACAGTGACTATTATAATTTGTAGTAAATGTGCGGATCCTGTATGAAGATCCATTCTCTTTTTCTTATAGTGGTGGGACAGTTGGAATTAATACCCCTGCACATCCCCAATTCCTTAATTCCTTAAATCCTTGACGGAAATGACAGGAAAATCATATCTGTTTTTCACAGTAATTGGTTCAGGGTTTGTTAAAATATTGTGAATTTAAAAATTGTTGCTTGAGGGGGTATGGTGCCGCCAGATCAATATGTACCTGTGAGGCTAGTGCATCAGCAGCCTGATGGCGCCTTCAGACTTCCAGATACCCCAAAATTGCTGCTGTGCCTTTGGCCAGACCCCAAAAACCTGGGGCAAAATTTACCAAGAAAGTAAACGGCCAAAAGTTAGGTATGTGGGAGACACACCCATAAACCACTTCGGGGTCAGCTATATGATTAGAGGCATGGCCTTTCTGGTTTCTGATTGAACTGCTTAATGGTCATGATCCCAGAGACTCAGTGGCTTGCTGTCGCCAAGCCACCCCAGGGGGGAAAGGGTGTTGTCCCTCTACCTGCTCCCCCTTGGCGGCTCGGTGGCCGCCATCTGCCAGAGGTCATTAGACAGACATTGGGCCCACAGTGACGAGACATGTGGGGCCTCATGGGATGGGGGTGGAGTTGGCCCTTTCCACCCCACCCCAACAGACCCTGAGTTGTCATCCACAAACAGCCTCTCTGGCTCCTGATCAAACTGCTTAACGGCCATGATCCAAGAGACTCAGAAACAAATCTTGGAACTCAGTGGCTTTTGGCAGAAATGCATCCACACTCCGCAGTAGGTTACTGTCGCCGGGCCACCCCAGGGGAGAAAGGGTGTTGTCCTTCCGCCTGCTCCCCCTAGGCGGCTCGGTGGCCGCCATCCACCAGAGACCATTGGACAGTCAGGTTTGAGCCCACAGTGACGAGACACGCGGGGCCTTATGGGATGTGGCTGGAGCTGGCTCTTTCCTCCACATCCCATCAAGACACCAATTCGTAGCTCGTGAACAGCCTTTCTGGCTCCTGATCAAGCTGCTTAACGGCCATGATCCCAGAGACTCAGGAGCAAATCTCAGAATCCAGCAGGTTTTGGCAGAAATCCTTCCAGTTTTAAGTGTTAAAATTTCAGAATTTCAAAATCATGTGGCCACTACTGCAGCCACGTGACATCGTATGTTTTTCTTAACCAGCAACAGAACACAAATTGTCTACTGTTGCCTTTTTGGCAGATCTGAGTGTTGGGGTAAAATACCAAATAATAATGGTGGGTCTGGTGTCAAAATATTGAATGTGATCAAAGTAAAGAGAGAGTAATGTGGAAATCATCTGCCCCACAGGTAGGACGAGGGTGTGAGATGGGGGTGTGCTGGGGTTTTTGGTGGTGGACAATGGGCACTGGTGAAGGTATGGGTGTTTCATTGTATGACTGAGAATTAAAACTGAAAGCTTTGTAACTGCTCTCATGGCGATTCAATAAATAAAATTATAAAAAATGAAAAAAAAAAGGTGGAGTTCATGCCCAATTCAATCAGCTAATCAGTGGCTGAATAAATAGCAGTACTCCTACATAAAAAATAAATAAATAAAAATTGTTGCTTGGAATGATGGAATATAGTTTCTTATTCCAGTTATTATGATAACTTCAGCTGTTAACTTTTTTATTTTTATTACTATTATTATTATTTTGCTTTTTGGGGTCACACTTGGCAATGCACGGGGGTTACTCCTGGCTCTGCACTCAGGAGTTACTCC